GAAAACCACTTTCCAAGAGAAACAAGCAGGAATGAATGCAAGAAAAGGCAACAGAGGAGATGTCGACTGATCTAAACTTTATTGGCACTGGATGAAGAAGGGATGGGGGAAGCGGACTTGACAAAAGCCCCTTTTTGAATACGAAGCATCTGAAAATTTAGTAAATATCAATACACAGATTGACCTCGCAGCCCGTCCAATGGAAGGACCGGTGTTTTCGCCACGAGACGTCAAAGGATTGGTCGAAAAGAAGAACTGACATAATTTACAGTCATTTTTTTTCCCAAAACACAAATATAAAGCCAGACCAAAAAAAAAAAAAAAAAAAAAAACCCCACGTGTTTAATAGGGTGCTTTCCCCCTCCCATAGAGAAACGACATGTTATACCCATGGAATAGCAGTAAACAAAACGGTGGGTGGAAAAAGGGGGGAGAAGGGGAAAACCTCCAGGTATCCTAACTAATAATTAAAAAAAAACCACATCTCTAGAAAATCTCCTGGTAATACTGAGTGCTTCTTACATTAAATTTCCTGCAAAATATCATCTCTTTACAATACAGTATACATATTTATTTTATTTTTTTGTTCAATGGAGAAAGGAGGGAGCGTTTTGTGTTTCCCTCCCCGCTCGAGATTAACATTTTCTAATTGTGCATAGCTAGGAAAAACAAGAGCGAGAGAGAAAGGAGAGGATGAAATCAATTATTATTATTATTATTATTATTAGATAACCACTGGAATATATATAATACTGGTAAGATCAGGGAAGAGAGCTGGACCGACTACAGCGGGAGAAAAGGTCATTTTGTTCCTATACTGGGAGATAATTGGGAGTCAATGGGAGACACAGAGGGCCACAAATTGCCATTGACTATGGAGGCATGGTTTGGCCATGGTTTGGAACGATCTTGGAGGGCAGCTTGCCATCCAAAGCTTGCCACCGGGCATTTCAGTGGCAACTTCAGCATAGAAAATACAAAATGATTCTGATAAGTCTGGGTTTTGTTTTAAAGGTTAAAAGCATGTTTTGGGCGCAAAAAGAGGGGATGCAGAATGGCTGCTTGCACCCCCAATTAACCCTAAAGGCACAATGTATCTGGAATAGAAAGGAGTGCATCCAAAACACACTTTTAAGGTCTTCGGTGAGGGACCTAGTGGGCACATCTCTCAGTACCAAAGAAAGGACCTTTTGGGCACATTGCAGTACCAAAGATCTTTGGAGACGTTAGAAAGGACCTTTTGGGCATATTTCTCCACACAAAAGATCTTTGGAGATGGTAGAAAGGACCTTTTGGGCACATCACTGTACGAAAGATCTTTGGCGATGGCAAAAAGGACATTTGGGCACATCTTTATGCACCAAAGATCTTTGGAGATGGGTAGAATGGACCTATTGGGCACATCTCCACACCAAAGATCTTTGGAGTTGGGTTGAAAGGACCTTTTGGGCACATTTGTCCACACCAAAGATCTCTGCAGATGGTAGAAAGGACCTTTTGGGCACATTGGAGTACCAAAGATCTTTGAAGATGGTAGAAAGGACCTTTGGGCACATCTTTATGCACCGAAGATTTTTGGAGTTGGGTTGAAAGGACCTTTTGGGCACATTTCTCCATACCAAAGATCTCTGGCGATGGTAGACAGGACCTTTTGGGCATATCTTTCTGCACTAAAGATCTTCGTAGATGGTAGAAAAGACTTTTTGGGCACATCTCCCTCCACCAAAGATCTTTGGAGATGTGTTGAAGGGACCTTTTAGGCACATCTCTCTGCAACCGCTATTGCTTATGGCACCGGTATCTGGCCCTCCAAGGAGGCAAGCTGGAGCCTTAAAATGGAAAATACTGAGGCTTCTTTCTATTCCTCCTTGGGTGCCAAGTTGTGCAATTACCATTCCACCTCTCCAAAAATATTTTCATCATCACCTGCCTCCTTTGATACTCCTATTAAAAAAAGCACTTTTTTTGGCATTAATACATCCTGGACATGGAATATCAGCAAAGAGACATTCAGCAAAGAGAAAGGGGGAATTTGCAGATATGCCAAAGATGACTTGGAAGTTTATACAACGACGAAAGAGCCTTGCAAAGGAATCTCTTTGGAAGAGAATACAACGAAGGCCACGTTCTCTTCCTCCAAAGGAATTCCTTCCAGCTTTCAAGTCGATGCCTCAACTCTCCAGGGCACGCTTTCTTTTCCAATGAATGGAGATGGTTCGGGGTCATTGCACAGCCAGCAATGAGCGGCCCGGCAATGAATGGTTGGCAGCGAAGTGGCACCGAGTGTTGCCGTCTGGGTTTCAAAACTGCCAGCGAAGCAGTTTGCAAGCTCCCCAAAAACAGCAATTCTGGCTCTTTTTGGGGTTTTGGCTAAAACTGGAGGAGCAAAAGGCACTCCAAGGCAAAGGGTCTGTTGAAAGAAAGGGCAACCTGCCGTCTTCCGGTATTTAAGGCAGCAGAAAGAGACGTGGTTTTCGCCTCTTTCAAAGCAAAGGCAGAGGTGACAATAAGGCATGGATTGTGATGTAGGGAAGTGCGAGATGGAAGCCATATGAGGGATATTTGGTGTTAAAACTGCTGGTGAGAAGTGTAAAAAAAAGGGAGAACACGTGTTGTAAGGCACCGGGAGAGAACTGCATCCGTTGGCACCTCTTTTGCTGGAGTTTTTGGCCAGGGCCATTCCTCTTTCAAAGTGACAAGTTGGGCTTAAGAAAGGAATGCTCCCAATGTATCCCATCCATCCAGATTGACTCTTCCAAGCTGGTGGCGCATGCAAAATACTGTCAAGAAGGTTCTATTTGGTCTGGTGAACATCAAGGAATGGTGGAAAGCTTTGGTTTGGGGAAGAGGGGATTTGCACCACATTTTGTGCTTTTGAAACACCTCCTTCCACTGCAGCTCTCTCCAGTCCCCAGACTGTGAAAACTTGCAGTGGATCCCAGAATTTGGTCAAGATGGGTTTGTGAAGGCTAGAGAGGAGGAGGAGGAGGAGAGATCCCATAAGCATCGCAGGCTGGGTGCAAAGGGTCCCCACCGTCCGGCTTCTTCAATAAGGCACAATTGACTTTTGTTTTGGTCCTTTAACAGAAGGGCAGCTAAAGGTGGGCCGTGGTTGCTCTTCTGTAGCGGTTCCAGCACAACGCAGTTGGACAAAAGTGAAGGAGGGAAAGAGAGAAGGAAGGAAGGAAGGAAGGAAGGAGAGTGCAGTCGGAGCGGAGGCAGGGAGGATTACATGGACTCGAATTCATCTATGCGCTGCTTGGTGTTGCCCTGCCGGATCTGGCGCAGGGTCTTGTACTTGTCTCGGCCCTGGCGCATGTTCTCGGCATGGATCATGTCATTGGCCGTCTTCTTCGTCTCGTCCCGAGCGTTGGCCAGTTCGGACGTCAGAGCCTGCACGGGAAGAAAGGAAGAAGGAAAGGAGGAAAGGAAGGAAGAATGGAAGGAAGAAAGGAATGGCAAGGCAAGGCAGGAAGGAAGGAAAGACAGATGGAAGGAAGGAAAAGAAGGGAAGGAAGGAAGGCAAGGCATGGCAAGGCAGGACAGAAAGATGGAAGGAAAAGAAGGAAAGGAAGGAGGTAGGGAAAATAGGCAGAAGAAGGATGGATGGATGTCTTATTGAAGGAGGATAGTAATGTAGGGCAAGTGAAATTGAATGCAAGTCGAAAGGAGGAAGGAAAAAAGGAAGGAAGGAGGGAAAGGAAGGAAGGAAGGAAGGAAGGAAGGAAGGAAGGAAGGAGAGAAACAGGAAGGGAAAGAAAAGTTGGGGGAAGGAAAGGGAGGAAGAAGAGAAGGAAGGAAGGAGAGAAAGAAAGGAAGGAAGGAGAGAAAGAGAAAGAAAACTTGGGGGGAAGGAAGGGAGGAAGAAGAAAAGGAAGGAGAGAAAGAAAGGAAGGAAGGAAGGAATGAGAGAAAGAGGAAGGGAAAGAAAACTTGTGGGGAAGGAAGGGAGGAAGAAGAAAAGGAAGGAAGGAGAGAAAGAAAGAAAAGAAAGAAAGAAAGAAAGAAAGAAAGAAAGAAAGGAGAGAAAGGAAGGAAGGAAGGAAGGAAGAAGAGAAAGTAAAGTGCACTTAAATATAGTACAATAATTATACCAAAGAATTAAATGATAACAAATATAGCAAAACATTATTGTAAGCAGTCCTGAAAATATATCTCCAAACATAACACTATGTCACAAAATTTTCTTTTCCTAGTTTGAAAGTGTTCTTGTTTAATTGTGCTGCACCTACTTTGAAAGTATTTGTTATATTCCAGAAATTTTGTTTTTGTGGCTACCACAAACTATGTTGAATTGGTTGAGATATTCATTGAAAAATGATAGCAAAATGGGCTCCAAAGATTTTGCAGTGTAATAGACTTTTCCCCATGTTTTTATGATAGAACTAATCAGGAAATGACATTTCAAACCCAGGAATAAAAATCCTGTTGCATATCAGGCTGGATGAGAATATGAACCAATATGATTATCATTATTAATAGAATTGGATGAGACTCCAGGGGTCATCCAGTCCAACCCACTTCTACCAGGCAGGAAAAGCACAATCCAATCCTTCCGAACAGATGGCCATCCAACCTATTATTATTATTATTATTATTATTATTATTATTATTATTATTATCATCATTATCAGCAGCAACATCAGCATCATCATTATTAATAGAATTGGAAGAGACTCCAGGGGTCATCCAGTCCAACCCATTTCTACCAGGCAGGAAAAGCACAATCCAATCCTTCCGAACAGATGGCCATCCAACCTATTATTATCATTATCATCATCATCATCATCATCATTATCATTATCATCATTATTAATAGAATTGGAAGAGACTACAGGGGTCATCCAGTCTAACCCCCTTCTGCCAGGCAGGAAAAGCACAATCTGATCCTTCCCAACAGATGGCCATCCAGCCTCTATTTAATAATGATGATGATGATGTTGGAAGAGACTCCAACTATCTTCTGTCAGGAAGGAAGGACACCAACCAATCCCTCCTGACAGATGGTAATCCAGCCTCTGTTTAAAAGCCTCCACAGAAGGAGCTTCCACCAGATTCCAAGGCAGTGAGTTCCACTGTTGAACAGCTAGCTCTTCTTACAGTCAGGAAGTTCTTCCTGATAATGTTCAATTGGGATCTCCTTTCCTGTCACTGGAACCCAAGGTTGCCATTGCTTATAAAGATCCGTCTCCTAAGAGCAAAGCAGAAGGACTACTGGCTCACCTTCAAGTGTTTCTGCACCCGCTCATTCTTCTCCGCCTCGGTGGTCCTCTGCTCCTCGCTGCGGTCCTTGATGGATGCGTGCGCCCGCAGTTCGGCGCTGGCTTCGGCGGCATTCTCGTCCTGCTCATCGTCATGCTCGTTCTCAGACTGCATGGGCTCCAGGACGTGTGGGGTGCTGGTGGCCGACTTGAGCTCCTCCTTAGTCTTCTCAAGATCTTCTTGGACCATCTGGGCCTGGGAGAAGGAGGGAGGGAGAGGCCCAAGTCAGCATCCCAGCAGTAAGCCAGGGAAGAGGCACCACCCAAAAACCCAACTTCACCACTGCTCAGGCTTTGAAGATGCAGGATGCCCATAATCTCTGTAGTATTGACAGTGATGGTGAGGGTATTCTACTTTGGGCACATCACGACATGGCTGGATCACTGGAAAAGCTTGGAAAAGCCAAGGGATTGATTGATCTTTCCATCAAGAAAGCCACATCTGCCTTGAGGGGCTAATAATAGGATCTTCCTGAAGGTTTCTTACTCATAGGGTCTCTACAAGTCAATGGCATCATTACTGGAAAAGCTTGGACAAGCTGAAGGATTGGTCCTAGCTGCTTTGAGTCTCCACGTGGAGAGAAAACTGGATTATAAATAAACATAAACATAACAATAATAATAATTGATCCTTCCATCAAAGAAGCCATATCTGCCTTGAGGGGCATGGAGTCTCTACAAGTCAAGGCTGATTTGATGGCACACAACACTGAAATGCAACACCGCCTGAGCTCTGCAAGTGCAGCATTCCTCTGAATGAGCTCTGCGAGTGCAGTATTCTTTTGAATGAAGCAGAGAGTGTTTGAGGACTGGGACATCCGTAGGGATACCAAGGTGCCTGTTTATAAAGCCATTGTCCTCCCAACCCTGCTATATGCCTGCAAGACATGGACTGTCTACAGACATCACACTCAACTCCTGGAATAATTACATCAGTGTTGCCTCCAAAAAGTCTTCCAAAACTCTTGGGAAGACAGGTGGGCAAATATCATAGAATCATAGAACCAAAGAGTTGGAAGAGACCTCATGGGCCATCCAGTCCAACCCCCCCTGCCAAGAAGCAGGAATATTGCATTCAAAGCACCGCTGACAGATGGCCATCCAGCCTCTGCTTAAAAGCTTCCAAAGAAGGAGCCTCCACCACACTCCAGGGCAGAGAGTTCCAATGCTGACCGGCTCTCACAGTCAGGAAGTTCTTCCTCATGTTCAGGTGGAATCGTGCTGGAAGAAGAAGCAAAGATCACCAGCACTGAAGCAATGGTCCTCTGCCATCAACTCCACTGGACCGGCCATGTTGTCCAAATGTCCAAAGATCACCATATCCCAAAATAGTTACTCTACTCCCAACTCAAGAATGGAAAACGGAATGTTGGAGGACAGGAAAAGAAATTGAAAGATGGGTTTAAAGCCAACCACAAAAATTGTGGCATAGACATTAAAAACTGGAAAGCCCTGGCCCTTGAGTGCTCTAACTGGAAACCAGCTGTGACCAGCAATGCTGCAGAATTCAAAGAGGCACAAATGGAGGGCAAAAGCGAAAAACGTGCCAAGATGAAGGCACGTCAAGCCAATCCTGACCAGGATCACCTTCCACCTGGAAACCAATGTCCTCACATGCAGATCAAGAATAGGGCTCCACAGTCACCTACGGACCCACCACCAAGAGACCACATCTGGAAGACAATCATCCTCGAGGTATGAGGGATTGCCTAAGTAAGTAAGTAGGTAAGTAAGTAAGTAAGTAAGTAAGGGGTCTCTACAAGTTAAGGCTGACTTGATGRCAAACAACAACAACAACAGAGCTTTGGAAGATTTTYGGGTGAGATTTGTCACATTGTGCTTTTCATTGCACTTGTTGTATTACAAGAAGGTGTGTGTTCAGAGTATTCTTCCTCCACAGATTGCCCCCCCCCCCCAAAAAAAAACCTAAGAAAATCAGTGGCTATGGAAAGTAGGGACTTTCCAATCTTCAGCAGTGCACAGGGGGGCAACCCCGTTGTGCAATAATCTCCCGCTTTCCCTTCTCCTTTCCCAGCCGAGAGTTAGTAATGCTGTTGGGTTTCATCTCAAAGGGAATGCAACCCGAGGTGCGGGGAGAAGAGGGAAGCCAAGGCTCTGCCCACCTTCTGCTGCCACTCCACGGCTTCGCTCTCCTTCTTCTGCCGAGCCAATTCCAGCTGCGAGATCCGGTCTGTGAGCTCCAGCATCTCGGTGGCCTGCAGAAAAGAAGAGAAGAGTATCACCAAAGGGCAAAAATATATGGCAACCTCAAAAAGCAAGCTCTGATTTGGCCTTTCCCCTTTTTTGTTTTGCAGCATTTCTCCTTCTGGCTGCCCAAATTCCTCTCTTTTGCTATTCAAACGCCTCTGCTTTAGTCCTTCCAGTTCGTTTAGTCCTTTGTGCTTTGGCTCCTTCAATATCACTGCAGTATACGGGGCACATCAAGACTGATTGACATCATTGCCGTGGCTCAATGCAACAGGATCCTGGGAGTTGTAGTTTTGCAAGGTCTGACACCATTGCCGTGGCTCAATGCAACGAGACCTTGGAGTTGTAGTTTTGCAAGGTCTGACACCATTGCCGTGGCTCAATGCAACGAGACCTTGGAGTTGTAGTTTTGCAAGGTCTGACACCATTGCCATGGCTCAGTGCAACAGGATCCTGGGCATTGTAGTTTGCAAGTTCCGAGGCTCTCCCTCCCAATTTGGGAGGCTCTCCCTCCCAATTTGGTGTCGTCTGCAAACTTGATGATCATGCCTTCTAACCCTTCATCCAAGTCATTAATAAAGATGTTGAGGCAGTCCACCCCATTGCTCAGTGGAGGAGGATGTGAGAGGAGAAATTACAGGGGTGTAGAGTGTGTTTTACTTCTCCCTGCCCTTCCTTTCAAGGGGCAGATTTCTCTCCCTTCCTGTTGTCTCATCCCTGTTCTTAACTAGGAGTCATTTGTAAGTCGGATGTTTGTAACTCTGGGGCGGCCCATACACCGACACACACGGCAGGCCAATGGGTTCCTCACCAGCTGCTCCTGGGTCTTCTTCTGGTCATGGGAGGCCTTCAGCAGCGCCTCTTTGGCCTCCTCCGCCTCCCGCCGCTCCTTCGCCAGCTTCTCCGCTTCCTCTTGAGCCCGTTTCCGCTCCTGCTCCAGTTCCAGCGCCCGGCGGGTCTGTTCCTCCAGCTCTGAGGAGAGAAGCCACCATTCACTACTGATGTACATTGACAGGGTCAGGGGTGCAAATTCCTTCCAAAGTGCAGGGAATTCAGTCCCCTCCTCACTACATTAACAGGTAGAGTATCCCTTATCTGAAATCCTTGGGACTGGAGATGTCCCATATTTTTAGAAATTGGAGTATTTGCATATACATATTGAGATATCTTGGAGACAGAACCAATAGTAAAATGTAAAAATCATGTATGTTTCATATACATCTTGCACAAATATGTTCCATATTTTGGATTTTTTTGGAATTTGGAATATTTGCATATACACAAGATATCTTGAGAGATGGAACCCATGGTAAAATGTAAACATTCATATACATTTTGCACACAAAGCCTCATATGTTCTGTATTTTGGATTTTGTTTCTTTTGGAATTTGGAATATTTGCATATACATAATGAGATATTTTGAGAGATGGAACCCAAGGTAAAACGTAAACATTCATATACATCTTGCATACATAGCCTCATATGTTCCATATTTTGGATTTTTTTAGCAATTGGAATATTTGCATATACATAATGAGGTATCTTGGGAGATGGAACCCATAGTGAAATGTAAACATCATATACATCTTGCACACATAGCTTCATATGTTCCATACTTTGGATTTCTTTTTTGAATTTGGAATATTTGCATATGCATAATGAGATATTTTGAGAGATGGAACCCATGGTAAAACGTAAACATTCATATACATCTTGTACACAAAGCCTCATATGTTCCATATTTTGGATTTTTTTTAGCAACTGGAATATTTGCATATAAATAATGAGGTATCTTGGGAGATGGAACCCATAGCGAAATGTAAACATTCATATACATCTTGCACACATAGCCTCATATGTTCCATACTTTGGATTTCTTTTTTGAATTTGGAATATTTGCATATGCATAATGAGATATTTTGAGAGATGGAACCCATGGTAAAACGTAAACATTCATATACATCTTGTACACAAAGCCTCATATGTTCCATATTTTGGATTTTTTTTAGCAACTGGAATATTTGCATATACATAATGAGGTATCTTGGGAGATGGAACCCATAGTGAAATGTAATTTTTGAGAGATGGAACCCATGGTAAAACATAAACATTCATATACATCTTGCACACATAGCCTCATATGTTCCATACTTTGAATTTCTTTTTTGAATTTGGAATATTTGCATATACATAATGAGATATTTTGAGAGATGGAACCCATGGTAAAACGTAAACATTCATATACATCTTGCACGCAAAGCCTCATATATTCCGTATTTTGGATTTTTTCTCTCTTGGAATTTGGAATATTTACATATACATAATGAGATATCTTGGGAGATGGAACACATAGTGAAATGTAAACATCATATACATCTTGCATACATAGCCTCATATGTTCCATATTTTGGATTTTTTTAGCAATTGGAATATTTGCATATACATAATGAGGTATCTTGGGAGATGGAACCCATAGCGAAATGTAAACATTCATATACATCTTGCACACATAGCCTCATATGTTCCATACTTTGGATTTCTTTTTTGAATTTGGAATATTTTTATATACTCCAAAAATATAAAGCACCGGGATTGTGCCACAGCTGGCTGAGTGTCAGTTGCATTAAGATCACTCTGACCAAAAGGTCATGAGTTCGAAGCCAGCCCGGGTTGTAGTGGGTTTCCAACCAATTGTGTGTAGCCTGTTGTCGACCTTTGCAACCCGAAAGACAGTTGCATCTGTCAAGTAGGAAAATTAGGTACCACCTTAAAGTGTGGGGAGGCTAAATTAACTAATTTATGAGGCCATAAAGAAGACTCCAGCAGAGCATTCCAGCGGGGAAGCATGCGGGGAATGCGGAAGTACTTCATCAGCGTCGCAGATGGACGATGAAAGCGACAGCTCCCCTGGCGGCCAGAAAAAGTTAAATAGCCTCTGTCTATGTCTGTATATATTGGTATGTCAAAAAATGGCATTGAATGTTTGCCATATATGTGTGCACTGTGATCCGCCCTGAGTCCCCTGCGGGGTGAGAAGGGCAGAATATAAATACTGTAAATAAATAATGAATCAATGAATAAATAAATATACATAATGAGATATCATGGAGATGGAATCCATAGTTTTAAGCATGAATTCTAAACCCGTGTCCTATGTTTTAATCTCTGTCCTGTGTAATTAATATATATTTTATAGACATGCTTTCATCATTATCTTTTATGGAACTGCATTTTAATATGTGTGTTTATAGAATTTTTATAGTATTTGTGTTTTTGATTGTGACCTGCCTCAAGCCATGGGGAGAGGCAGGTAAGAAATAATAATAATAATAATAGTAATAATAATAATAATTTGAAACACAACAAGATGAATCCACAGCAGACACTGCTGGATGTTGTATTGGATCACACGTTGGACACTTCCCAAGTTGTTTATTATTATTATTATTATTATTATTATTATTATTATTATTATTATTATTATTATATCTTAATACAGGCACTCAACAAGTTACAAACAAGAATTTACATTTTTATGTATCTCGTCTGAATTTTTCTGTGGTCTCCAAATTCCTCATGTCACTATCAATGGCAAGCTGAGAACAACCAAATCTGTGAACATTAAACCCATGAAATTCCGAGATTCAGACTGGATTTCCTTGAATATATGGGACCCAATTGAGCTTAGAAAAAGATGAAACCCATCCCAAAGGGGAGAAGTAACAGTGAGAGATGATTCTTCCTGACCTTGCTGAGCCTTTTTGGTCTGCTCCTCAATTTGCCGGAGCCGCTCCATCAGCTCCTCCTTTTCCCGTTCGATCTTCTCTTTCTCCTTCTCGGCCAACTCCCTCTTCTTCTTCTCATTCTCCAACAAGGCTCTGAACGGAATAAAACAGGGAAATAAAAGTCAAACAAAGACGGCCAACGCATCTTTCACTGTCTCAATTTGGTCAAATGCCGGGTTGGATTTTATTGCCTCTTCGGACACCTTTGGCATCCTATCATTGCATTTTTAGGCAGCAGAGAAGGAGGAAATGCAAGGCATTCACCTCAAGGAATAGATACAACACTCCCATAGATACAAGGGTCTCACTCCATTGAGTACCAATGCAGAATAGATAACCACACACTATAATATCAGAGCTTTCCAAACTGTGTTGCAATATGTTAGTGTGTCAGCTTCAGTATGTAGGAGCGCTGTGTGTGTGATAAATATATGATGGGTGGTTTGAATGAAATTGTACGAAAGGTGTATGACTGGGGTCTGCTGAAGACTGAAGATATTATCCTAAGAAAAATGCCATTACTGAAAACTGCAGAAGACTGATGAAAGAAAAACTACTAAACTGATGACATGACCAGAGACAATGATTAACTCTTGGTTGGAAACAACATGTTTACATGACAAGAGACAATGAGCTTTTAAGTTAAGGAAGCAAACACAATGCACTTTACTGTCCGGAACTGATGGAGTCAGAATGATTTAGCTGGGAAAAACAACCTGTCAGTCATTTATAACCTTTTTGGAACAACAACAGCAAGAAATTTGCTGTGTAAGAGACCTTTTTACTATCCAAAAGTGTGGCAGACAGCGGAGTCTGGTCATTCATCTCTTTCTCCAAGGAATGGAGAAAATGGTGTATTTGGAAGAATGGCTGATTTGCAGGGAACACAATCTGGCCTACATTCAGTTCTCCAGGAGAAGGAAGAAGGGATGGTAATGCACACATGATGAATGAATGAATGTTTACATGTGTGTGAATGCTGAGCAAAATGTAATATATCCTTGTGCAACCAATGTAGTTATATAGTCTCTGTGTGTCTACTTCTTTCTTCATATTGCTCTGTGATATAATCTTGTCTCGCTGAAAATGGAATAAAGGAGCATTTTTAAAATGTTTTAAAGCATTTATGACAAATGTACCTTTCCATCTGCTTCTGGTGCTTCTCCTCTCTGGCCTGGGCCTTCATTTGCTGCACCTCTATCGTGTCTGGCTTGCGCCGGCGCATGTACAGCTCATGGTTGCCCATGCAGAGGGCCAGGATGCGCTTGTTGATCCTTAGCCGAGGGGCGTAGAAGACAAAGTCCTGCAGAGGAACGACAGGATGGATATTGGTTAGGCAAGTGGATGCTACATCATTTCATCCTCCTCTCTGGGAATTAATGCATGCAAGCCTCAATTATGCATGTGCATAAGTCGCCCATCAACTTATGGTGACCCCAATTATTTTGTAGGAGAAGGAAGACTCAAGGGTGGCTTTGCCCATTCCTTTCTCTGAATAGTCATTTTGAGTCTCCTTCGGGAGTGATAGAACGGGGAATCAATAATAATAATAATAATAATAATAATAATAATAATAATAATAATAATAATAGCAGGTTTATCCAGCCAGTTTTAAGAGTGAATTCTAAACCTGTAACCTGTGATTTAATCTCTCTCCTGTGTTTATTTAATATGCATTTTAAATACATCATAATATATATCTTTTATAGAACTACAATTTAATATACATGTTTATAGAATGTTTGTGTGTTTTGACTGTGCTGTGATCCGCCTTGAGCATACAGAAATATATATTATGTATTTTTGATATTAATATTGAAATCTGAAATATATACAGAAAGTCATTACTTTCTGTATATATTTCTCTACACAATAATAACAACAATAATAGTAATAAATTATACAGTATGTCTATATAATAACATATTTCTGTATACAATTATTACTATGTACAGAAATATATACATATTATTATTATTATTATTATTATTATAATAATATACAGAAATACATACAAAAAGTAAAGACTTTTTGCATATATTTCAGATTTCAATATTAATATCGTTGGCCTGATAGGTGTGTTGTGTCCAAATTTGGTGTCAATTCGCCCAGTGGTTTTTGAGTTATGTTAATACCACAAATGAACATTACATTTTTATTTATATAGATCAGGACTAAGGGCATTCCAGTCTACCACCCCCTTCCCATCACAACACACTCATTCCAGACTATGAATTACTTCTTTTAGTTAAATATGTGTTCTCATAAACAAAATAATATCCCAAGACATTCAAATCTGCCTTACTGGGGCTTTCTTGTCAATCGGCTTGATGGTAAACTTCTTATCATTGAAGGAAATGTTCCTGATTTCGCTCCAGGGAAATCCAATTTTGGGTGTTAGCCTGAAAAATAAAGGAAGAAATCTGCTGTTTCAGAAAATAGAACTATGTAACACAATTTCTTCTTCGTGGGACTTGTAAATATTGCACTTATGAATGAATTTCACAGATGACAACTCAAAGAAATACAGTTACAGGTAAGCGAGTATTCTTTCTTCTTCGTGGTCTCTGTGAAATTTGCACATCCACTGAAGAAACACAGTTACAGGTAAGCAACCATTATTTTTGTTCCTGGGTTATAACTGTCATTTCCTAATCCTAAAAACATAGAAAAAGTTTATTAAACTGCCCCAACTTTGTTATTGTGGCACATTTTTTTGTTTTGTTTTTGTGTCCCTGGTGAAGCAGCGAGTTAAACTGCTGAGCTGCTGAACTTGCTGACCAAAAGTTTGGCAGTTTGAATCCAGGGAATGGGGTGAGCTCCCACTGTTAGCCCCAGCTTCTGCCCACCTAGCAGTTCGAAAACATGCAAATGTGAGTAGATCAATAGGTACTTCTCCAGCGGGAAAGTAACAGCACTCCTTGCAGTCATGCCAGCCACAAGACCTTGGGGGTGTCTATGGACAACACTGGCTCTTCAGCTTAGAAATGGAGATGAGCACTACCTTCGGTTTCCTTACCTGTCGTTCTGTTCATAGATGTTCAGGCCCAAGGCATCCACACCAAGCCACAGCTCTGAGCCCTTTTTGTTCTTAATACTGAAATAGTTCACGCCGTACATCTCCAGGTCTTGGGCGATCTTCAGGTACTCCAAGATGGCGTCTTCTCTAGAAGGTCCAGAAGAAAGGGAAAAGATTGAAATCTTTTTATCTCTCAATCATACCAAGCCTTCGAAGCAGGCCTTAAAGGACCATTTGCCCAACATCACAGCTCACAAGATAACAAGAAAGGCCTGGTTTCTGAGGAATGACATCTTCACACACTTCCAATGGTTGAAACTCCAACTCCATGATAGAATGGGGTGGGACTGGATGGCTTCTAGGGGTCTCTTTTTACTCTACGATTCTATGAAAACCATTGGAAGGATCTGAAGGACCAATTCTTCCTGTAGAAGCCCACTTGGGCTACAGGAGGTTGGCATTTCGTGGTAGCACTCAAACGATCTTGTGGAACCTCAAAAGAAGGCATTCCTTTGGCATGGGTTTCAAAACACAGCTTGCAACAAACAGAGATCGGCCATAAGCTTTCGGATACAGGCCATAACTCATACCTGAGCATTCCCCGATGCTCTTCGTGCCACACCTGGATCCTTTCTTCCCATTGGTCCTTGTTGAGTTTGTGCTGCTCCAAAACTCTAGGAATCAAAGAGTGAGAAGACAAAGTTAGGAAGATAACAGGGACTTTTGCACAATGTTGAACGTTCTAGTGAAGCTTTCCCTTTATCGGAAATTCTGAAATACAGGTAGCCCCTGAGTTACAAACATCTGATTTACAAATTATTTACAAATGACTCTTAGTTAAGAATGGGGATGAGCTGCTATGGGGTCATGGGATTTGTAGTTTGGTGAGGCGCCAGCACTCTTTGGCAAAAAAAGTCTAAACACCTCATGAAACTACAATTCCCAAGAATCCACAGCACAGAGCTAGAGTGTGGAGGAGGCTCCTTCTTTGGAGGCTTTTAAACAGTCTGGATGGTCATCTGTTTGGGATGCTTTGAATGTGATTTTCCTGCTTCTTGGCAGAGGGTTGGACTGGATGACCCACAAGGTATCTTTCAACTCTATGACTATGATTCCATGAAAGTGGTACCAAACTGCTTTCATTCTACAGTGTAGATGCACCCTATGAAACATAAATGAATTTGGTGTTTGGACTTGGGACCCATCCCAAGTTAATATTTGTGCATTTGTGTATGTGAATGATTATGGAATACTTGCCTAGAAGTGATATCAAATTGCTTTCATTCTACAGTGTAGATTCTCCCTATGAAACATAAATAAATTTTGCATCTCAAGTTATTGTTTATGTGTGTATATAAATATAACTGTACTTGTATAATTGTAATTGTTTGTGCTGGCATTGAATTTTGCCATTACCTATGTGGAAACCGCCTTGGGTCCCCTTTGGGGTGAGAAAAGTGGTATACAAATACTGTAAATAAATAAATAAATATAATATAATATTATAATGTAATGCAGTATAATACTAATAATATGATATTATAATTATATATTTATATTACATATAATATTACTAATAATATTACAATATATTGTATGTATATATATCTTGTAAGCCACTGTGAGTCTCCTTCAGGGTGAGAAGGGAGGCATATAAATGTCGTAAATACATACATACATACATACATACATGTATGTGTGTGTGTGAATTATTTTGGAAAACTTGCCTATATGAGATAACTTGGGAAATGAGACACAAATCTAAGCACAGAATTAATTTATGTTTCATAGGGTGCATCATCCTTTCTTCTATCTATCTATTTCTACCTATGAACGAAATACAGAATGCTTCTGGTTCCAAGGATTCCAAAAGTTTTATCAGCCAAGCATGACTTCTTTGGGGTCACCAGAAGCAAACAAGGGTCTGTTATCTCGAAGGCAAAGCTTTTTCTTCTCTCGACTTAACTTGGGCAGGGAGATGTGCCTGAGCCCAGTTACCTTTGTGGCAGAAGCTTGTCGGTGGCCAGGTATCCGGACTTGTGGGCCTCCTTGTTGAAGTCCCCATGCTTGGACTGGACGGCATAGGAGGCCAGGAGGACGGCGGTCTCTGGGGGGCAATAGATATCATCATTCAGGATGCCCTCCTTGACCTGGAGGAAGAAGAGGCGCTGGGTGATGTCCTGGATCAGCTCCTCCGCCACGTCCTCCGGGTAGAACTTGGCCCGGAACTTGAAGAGCAGCGGGCTCTCCTTGCGCACGTCCTGCGCCGTCACCTGCAGAGAGAGAGAGATGGACAAAAAGGGCATCAGTGACCACTGGAAATCCAGACTTCTCAACACAGGGTGCAAATTGCTTGTTTTGTATTAATGGGAGCAAACTGCAGAGGAGAGCGGAAGCAGGAGCACAAAGAGAGTGCTATTGTTGGGTTTTTTTGTAATGTAACTAAGGATGATGTATTGTCGAAGGCTTTCATGGCTGGAATCACTAGGTTCTTGTGGGTTTTTTTGGGCTATATGGCCATGTTCTCGAGGCATTCTCTCCTGACGTTTCGCCTGCATCTATGGCAACCATCCTCACTACCTCTGAGGATGCTTGCCATAGATGCAGGTGAAATGTCAGGAGAGAATGCCTCGAGAACATGGCCATATAGCCCAAAAAACCCCACAAGAACCTAACTAAGGATGCATTTGATTTAGTAAAATGGTCAATATTAAAAAAAATAGTTTATCAAATGGGTTTTGGAAAAAAATTCAAGACTATATTCAAAGAATAAAGCTTCACTATTAGTTGATGTGGGAGAAACAGGACAATTTAACCTAAGACGAGGAACTATTTATTATTTATTTATTGACAACATTTCTACCCCACCCTTCTCAACCCCCGAGGGGGACTCAGAGCACCTAACACTGTCAAGAATTTGATGCCACAATATCACAAAATAACAACAATACAAAACCATAAAATCACAATAGATTAAAATAATAACATTAATTATACAATCATAACCATTTCCATTATCATAAGAATCATCATATGGTCCAATTCAATGTCCAAAGTGCCATTGTGCCTGTTAGCCAAAAGCCTGGTTCCAAAACCACAATTTCAGTTTTTTCCTAAAGGAAAGGAGGGAGAACGCCAATCTAATCTCACTGGGGAGTGAATTCCACAAGTGGGGGGCCACCACCGAGAAGGTCCTGCCCCTCGTCTCCACCAGACACATTTTTGGGGCTGGTGGGACCGAAAGCAGGGCCTCTCCGGTGGATCTTAAACTATGAGGTGGAACGTAGTAGACAAGGTTGCTATTTATTTCCAATTTTATTTATATTAGTGATAGAATTATTAGTGAATGTGATAAGGAAAGACAGAGATATAGAAGGAACAGGACAAGAAGGAAAAGTACAGATGAGTTTATTTGCAGATGACACCTTGTTAAATATAGTAGAACCATCAAAAGCTTTAAGAAGGCAAAAATACGAGAGTCATTCTAAAGTTGCTATAAGTTTGAAACAACTTGAAGGCACACAACAACAACAGCAACAAATAACAACAGCCAATGACCCATTATGGAGCCTTACATTTTCAAAATATATAGAACGCAGCATCGAGCTGCAAAAATATCAGCAAATGTTTTGGCTCCCAATACAATGAAAGCAATTTAACGGATATCGTGTAACAATATTTGAATTTTCTGGTGGACAATGTTACCTTTTTCTTCTGCCTTTTGGACTGTTGTGTTTTATTTATGGTCACAAACCCCTCTTTAAAATATTTATTTGAAGATGACAGATTGGAAAACCTTTGGGGCTGGAGAGCAATTTCTGCACAATGCAACCAGTTCTTAAAACAGGCTCTATTGAAATTGAATCCAGACAAGACAGAGGTCCTCCTGGTCAGTCGTAAGGCCGAACAGGGCATAGGGTGACAGCCTGTGCTGGACGGGGTCCCACTCCCCCGGAAGACGCAGGTTCGCAGCTTGGGAGTGATCCTGGACTCACTGCTGAGCCTGGAACCCCAGGTCTCGGCGGTGGCTGGGAGAGCTTTTGCACAATTAAAACTTGTGCGCCAGTTGCGCCCGTACCTTGGGAAGTCAGACTTGGCCACGGTGGTCCACGCTCTCTTTATATCCTGAATAATTACTGCAACACGCTCTGTGTGGGGTTGCCTTTGAAGACTGCTTGGAAGCTTCAACTAGTCCAACGGTTGGCAGCCAGGTTGCTCACCGGAGCGATGTACAGGGAGCATACAACCCGCCCTGTTGTTGTCATCATCCACTGGGCTGCCTTGTGGCGGTGATGTATGTGGGAGGAGAAGAGTTGGTATGGGGTGGTTTATTAGGATTGAGGGTGTGGAAAGGAAAGTGGGGGGGAGGGGGTGGGGGGTCTGGCTGCCGGTTCAATTCCGAGCACAATTCAAGGTGCTGGTTTTGACCTACAAAACCCTTTACGGTTCCGGTCCAGTGTATCTGTCCTGAATGTATCTCCCTCTACATCCCACCCCGGAATTTGAGATCATCTGGGGAGGCCCTGCTCTCGACCCCACCGCTATCACAAGTGAGGTTGGTGGGGACGAGAAGCAGGGCCTTCTCAGTGGTGGCCCCTCACCCGTGGAACTCACTCCCGGGGGACATTAGGCAGTGGTTCTCAACCTTCCTAATGCTGTGACCCCTTAATACAGTCCCCCATGTTGTGGTGACCCCCAACCATAACATTGTTTTTGTTGCTACTTCATAACAGTAATTTTACTACTGTTATAAATCATAATGTAAATATCAGATATGCAAGATGTATTTTCATTCACTGGACCAAACTGGGCACAAATACCCAATGCACCCACATGTAAATGCTACTGGGGTTGGGGGAGGGTTGATTTTGTAATTTGGGAGTTGTAGTTGCTGGGATTTATAGTTCACCTATAATCAAAGAGCATTCTGAACTCCACCAGCGATGGATTTGAACCTAATTTGCCACACAGAACTCCCATGAACAACGGAAAACACTGGAAGGGTTTGGTGGCTATTGACCTTGAGTTTGGGAGTTGTAGTTCACCTATATCCAGAGAGCACTGTGGACTCATGCAATGGTGGATCTGGACCAAACTTGGCACAAATACTCAATTTGCCCAAATGTGAACACTGGTGGAGTCTGGAGAAAATAGATCTTGACATTTGGGAATTGTAGTTGCTGGGATTTATAGTTCATTGCAATCAAAGAACAATGAACTCCACCGATAGAATTGGGTCAAACTTCCCACATGGAATCCCCATGGCCATCAAAAAATACTGTGTTTTGTTATGGTCTTTGGCGACCCCTCTGACACCCCCTTGCGAACCCCCCAGGGGTCCCAACCCCCAGGTTGAGAAACACTGAATTAGGGCATCAACATCCCTCCTCTCCTTCAGGATGTGGTTGTGGGACCAGGCCTTTGGGCAATCTAACAATTAGATATGGATAACCAGATGGATAGGATGGATAGGACTGACAGGACCATTGTGGAACTGGAATTGGAACTATGAGATTGTGAAACGCTGACTGTCAATGAGGTTTGTATTGGTTTTATTGCTTTTATGGTTGTTTTGCCTATAGTAATTATTGTTTTCTGTTAATTGTTGTTATTGCGAGAATTGCTGTCTCTGTTAACTGATCTTATTGTCTTTTGCTGTTATGTGATGCGGGCATCGAATTGTGCCTCGCTTTTGTAAGCCGCTCTGAGTCCCCCCCCCCCCTCGGGATGAGAAGGGTGGGGTAGAAGCAACCGAAATAAATAAATATTCCATTAATATGGGGTGCAAGCCATTAATAAAAGAGAAAAATTCAATTTGAGGGAGAGGTTAAGAAGAGAAAAGGATGCTGTAGTGGAATCTACCTTTAAGACGACAAGGCCGAAGCCTGCATGACAGTAGCTGTCATCTTGGAAGGCAGGCAGAGACAGGAGGAGGAGTCAAGCCGACTCCTGATTGGGTATAGCAATTGGGGGAGGAGTCAGTTGAGAGAGGGAAATAAGCTGTCAGCTCTTGACAGAGAGGGAGAAGTGTCTTGACATCAGACACAGAAGGATGAAATTTTAAGATAGGAAGTTACAGTAGGAATCTGACAGGGAAAGAAAGTTTTAAGCGAGCCTTTAGAATAGGGAATAAGCAGACAGACAAGGGCTAGGGTTACTGTATTAGTAGGATCAGTAACAGAAAGACTTGTCTGTTTATACTGAGAAAAAGTATAAGAGTGCTTATTTGCCCTGTGGGAGAGACAGATAGGGATCTGTTCTCAAGTGATACTGTGTCTAAAGATAGAGCAGTGTGTTTAAGGGATCTCACAGTTGATAGATGCTTTACTGTCAGTGGAACTACTTGCTTAAGTAATTAAGTCTCTACAACTGAATTACGCTTCTGTACCGCTCATTATATGAGTAGTAGGGCTGGGCGGTTTCGTTTCGTTAATTCGTAATTCGTTAATAATTCGTTAATTTTTTCAATTACAAAACGATAACGAACCATTCTGGAGCAATTTTTTTAAAAAACGAATTTTTAAACATGTTTTGTAAGTGCTTCGTATTTCGTTATTGTATTCATTTCGTTATTGTTCTGAGGTCGTTTCATTATTATTTCCGCATGTCTGGGGCAAGTTTTTTGTTTAATTAGTGAAAAAAAATTATAATATCACACCAACAGTCAACAACAGAGGGAGAGGGAAGCTTCAGAAGTTTTTGGAGGATTTTTAGCGTATTTCGCGGTCGCGTCCGCCATTAACGAATCGATTCGTTATTGTTTCGGAAATCGATTAGTTAATGTTTTGTAATTTTTTTCACATTTACGAAATTTCGTAAATATCGAACTTTTTAAAAGGAAAATTTTGTAATTATTTTAAATAACGAAACGCAAAAAACCCCCAAAAAACGAATCGATTTTAGAAACAAATTTTTCCGTTGTTACCCAGGCCTAATAGTAGATATTTGTTTAAAGATCAATAAATCTTTCTTAGTTCACTGTTAACTGGTGTATGCCTCAGTCTATCCACTTCCTCAGAACTCACTCTGTCAAACCATTTTAAAGTCCAGTCAGCCAGTGAAGAAGCCATAGAAGAACAAGGGCAAACACACCTTACCTACAACACATTCACACCTTTGGTACCTCAGGCCAATAAAAGCTGAGGTGGTGGCACTCATACCTAAGAAGAACATCGGTCATTTATAATATTTTATTCTCCCTTGCCTTGAGGAGCAGAGGTGGGATTGATTGCTTGTCCACCCTGCCCAGACAGCCTTTAATTTCGCTATACTGGTGACCAGCGGTGGGATTCGTTGTTCCCCCCTGCCCCAGATATCCTTTTGATTTTACTACAGATGCCATATAACGACACATACCTTTTTATTTAGCTTCAGCCAGGTTGAGAAGCCCTTGGTGTCCTGGTATTGGAGTCCAAAGAACCAAACCTCCCTGAGGCCAATGGTTTTCACAACCTGTTCGGAAGGGAAAGTCATAATTATAATTAGAATAATAATAAAAAGAACAGCTGATTTGGGGAGCATGGAGACCTATGCGAAGGTCACTTTCAAAAGCAAAGAAAACCATCTCTGGGTTCAAAGGAAAACAACCACAAAACTGCAGATTTCAAGGAGAGGGTTTTGGAAAGACTGTGGGATTTTTCCAAACCTGGTCAGCCCATCCCAGCAATTATTCATAATTACTACTTGAAGATGAAAGAAATGTTGTTGCAAGAGCCATCCCGGTGCAGTGGTTTGGGTCTTAAGGCCAACAATCTGGGAAATCAGAGTCAGAGTTTTTGTCTAGCCATGGAAACCACTGCTTGGAAGCAACAAGACTATTTAATTATTGTTGTGGTTGTTGTTCTTCTTATTATTTTGTTTATTTATATCCCACTTTTCCCTTCACAAGGAGACTCACGACTGTTATTCTTTGGCAACTTATTTATTTATATTTATTTATATTTATTTATATTTATTTATATTTATTTATATTTATTTATATTTATTTATATTTATTTATATTTATTTATTTATATTTATTTATTTATATTTATTTATATTTATTTATTTATATTTATTTATATTTATTTATATTTATTTATATTTATATTTATTTATTTACTTATTTCGGCAACTAAAAAGCCTGGAGCATTTCAGCCTGAAGCTACTCTTTCATTTCGGACACGAATGGCTTCGGAAACATTTTTGCAGCTTTGATTCCAAAACCGAGTCATGGAAGCACTATGGGAGTTGTAGTTCCACAGGGCCTTATGCCTTTTCTGCCAAACTACAAACCCCATTGTACTGCAGCTGGGAATACATAATCTGGGGTCACAGATCTTTATTCTGCAACAGTATACAAACTGGCAGGGCTCAATGCTATGCCATCTTGGGAGGTGTAGTTTTGCAAGGTCTCGAGCCCTTCTCTGCCAAAGAGGGCTGTGTCTTGCCAAGCCACGACTCCCAGGATCTCATAGAATTGAGTCACGGCAGTTCCAGTGGTGCCAAACTGCATTTATGCTGTGGTGTAGATGCGTCTCCCAAGACTTGTCGTGTGCCAAAAGGACATACACTTTTTGGTAGAGAGGGCTCAAGACCTTGCACAACTACAGCTCCCACTGGCACTGAAAGTGGTGCCAAAGTACATCCGTTCTCCAGTGTAGATGCACCTGGAGTCATCTTCTCAAAGTCTCCAAAAATGGGCAAATTCTTGAAATAAACCTTGCCAAGAAAGCCCAACAATATTGCAGTCAGTGGTGGAGGCTCCTTCTTTGGAGGCTTTTAAACAGAGGCTGGATGGCCATCTTTCAGGGGTGCTTTGAATGCGATTTTCCTGCTTCTTGGCAGAATGGGGTTGGACTGGATGGCCCAGGAGGTCTCTTCCAACTCTAGGACTCTATGACTGAAAAGGTGGGCAGGGTTTGCATTCCCTCTTATTCAGTCATGGAACTCAATGGGGTCACCATAGGAAAGTCACACTCTCTCAGCCTCAGAGGAAGAGCATCATGGCAGTCCTCCTCCAAATAATAGGGCATGCCAAGAAGCTCTTAGGAGAAGGTTGCCATAAACTGGGCAAAAACTGAAGGCGCACACAACAACAACATCATGCCACCAGATGACCAACAAAAACTGACCCACTAGAGATGCTTTTAGACTGCAGCTCCCAGCATTCTTTGCTCTCAACTGTATTGGTGAGGACTTCTGGGAGTTGCAGTGCAGGAACAGGATTCAGCTATATATTTTAACTCCAGATAGAATAACGCTATGTAACAAAATTTGAAAAACATTCTGTTCCTGGTTTGGAAGTGATAGGTAAAGGTAAAGGTTTTCCCCTGACATTAAGTCCAGTTGTGTCCAACTCTGGGGATTTCTGCTCATCTCCATTTCTAAGTCGAAGAGCCAGCGTTGTCCGTAGACACCTCCAAGGTTATGTGGACTACACGGAACGCTGTTACCTTCCCGTTGGAGTGGTATCTATTGATTTACCTACATTTGTATGTTTTCGAACTGCTAGGTTGGCAGAAGCTGGAACTAATCCGGCCCCCAGATTTGAACCTGTGATCTTTCGGTCAGCAAGTTCAGCAGTTTAACCCACTGCGCCACCAGAGGCTCCCATGGAAGTGTCATTCCTGTTTAATTGTGTGCCGCTCACTTTGAAAGTAGTGAATGCATCATAGCTTTAAAATAGTTCCAGGCTATCTGTGTGGCAGATAAAGGTTTCCATTCACAATCGAGGCGACTCCGAGATTAAGCCCGGGGCCGGAAGGCGGCACGAGAGAGGCCTCCGAAGGAAGCAGGGGCCGGCTGTCCATTCACACAACGGAGGCGTCTCCAAAAGGTGCTGAAAAGTCAGCCTCTGCCAAAAGCTGTCCAGAAACCAGATATGGAGCGGGACGATAGCCATAAGAGGAAGCAAGAGCACTCGAGGAGGAGATCGCAATGAGGCCTTTTCTCCTAATAAAGCCACAGAGATGCATGGGCCATCTAGTCCAACCCCATTCTACTCTGGAGGAAGGCACAGCTCTGCTTGAAGACCTCCAAAGATGGAGAGTCCACCACCTGATGAGTCAATCCATTCTGCTATCAAATCCCTTCAAATGTTCTAGGGAGTCTCTTCTCTTTGATTCCACCATAAAGTGGGCCATGGATGCCCACTTTATGGTGGGCATCCATGGCCCACTAGTCTTACTTATTCAATGTGTTACTGTTCCTCATCTCTGTTGTTGTTGTTCATTCGTTCAGTCGTCTCCGACTCTTCGTGACCTCCTGGACCAGCCCACGCCAGAGCTCCCTGTCGGCCGTCACCACCCCCAGCTCCTTCAAGGTCAGTCCAGTCACTTCAAGGATGCCATCCATCCATCTTGCCCTTGGTCGGCCCCTCTTCCTTTTGCCTTCCACTTTCCCCAGCATAATTGTCTTCTCCAGGCTTTGCTGTCTCCTCATGATGTGGCCAAAGGACTTCAATTTTGTCTCTAGTATCTTCTTCTGCCAACCTACCAGTTTGTCTCTAGTATCCTCATCTCTATCCATAGAGAAATGCAGAGGAAAGGGAAGAGGTTGTGTTCTGATCTTTGTAGCATCAGATAACAAGCATCCCTTCAACTTCTATGAGGGTTGACTGCATCTTGCTCAAGTCACAGTGACCAACCATCTGCGCAGGGTTCCATACTTCACACTTTAGCAACACAACCGTTCAATGCTAAGGCATACCGCCAAAATGGAACTGTAGAGGAGAGTCTATTGAACAAGCCAGTACCTGCCGCATACCAGTACTGCCATCTGTGGAGGAGTTACAAAGGTGGAGGCATTACTTTTCATTCAACTCTCGTATATCAGTGTTTCTCAGCCTTCCTAATGACGCAACCCCTTAATCCAGTTCCTCATGTTGTGGTGACCCCCACCATAAGATTATTTTTGTTGCTACTTCATAACTGTCATTTTGCTACYGTTATGAATAGTACGTAATGTAAATATCTCATATGCAGGATGTATTTTCATTCACTGGACCACATTTAGCATAAATACACCCAAATTTGAATACTGGTGGGGTTGGGATTGATTTGATCATTTGGGATAAGGACTGACCATCACTCAAAATATTATGATTTTGTCATTTGGGAGTTGTAGTTGCTGGGATTTATAGTTCACCTACAATCAAAGAACATTCTGAACTCCACCAACAATAGAATTGGCTCAAACTCCCCACATGGAATCGCCAYGACCATCAGAAAATACTGGAAGGGTTTGGTGGGCAGTGTCCTTTGGTTYTGGAGTTGTAGTTCACTTGTATCCAGAGACCACTGTGGACTCAAACAGTGATGGATCTAGACCAAATTTGGCAAGAATATTCCGTATGCCCAAATGTGAACACGGGTTGTGTTTGGTGAAAACAGACCTTGACATTTGGGAGGTGTAGTTGCTGGGATTTATAGTTCACCTACAACCAAAGAGCATTCTGAACTCCACCAATGACAGAAGTGGGCCAAACTTCCCACACTTCCCAAGACCAACAGAAAATACTGTGCTTTCTGATCATCTTTGGCAACCCCTCAGATACCCCCTCGTGACCCACCCCCCTTGGGTCCTGACCCCCAAGTTGGGAAACACTGTTCTATATGGACATCTTTGCAGATACTTCTCAGGTCACTTCTCTCCTCCAAGCTAAACATTAGGGGTGTGCAATTTTTTTGAACTGTTTTCCCCACTGCATGATCGTTCTGTTTCAAAATCTTGTGCAGTTGTATCAAGGCCAAAACTGGCTTGACGAAGTGCAGCTCCTACCCACAAACCCCGAGTCCGGTCCCGCATTACATGAATGACGAAACCCCAGCAGTTGGTGCGCAAAAGCAGATGGGAGTGTGTGATTCCCGCCTGTTTCCTGCTCCCTCGCCATCTGCAACAGCAGCCCGGCCCAGCGAGAACATTCGTTCGGTCAGCATGGAACAATCGGCTGCATTTCCCATTGTGACCGGGGCTGAATGGGCGATTTCCGCTGCAAAAGCAGCTTCCTCCTCTTGCAATTGTCCAGAGACAGTTGCAAAACCCCCAGGGTGGCTTTAGAAAAAGAGCAGACCCAGGGCCTTTATCAGGGCAGCTTCCAGAAGGCCTGACCTCAGGCGCAAAGGGACACTCCACAATCTACCACAAACACCATTGTCCACTTAGGGATCCTAGCCGGACCTTTCTGCATATTATTATTATTATTATTATTATTATTATTATTATTATTATTATTATTATTATATGCTGGAAAATGCAACAATTTCCAGAGAAGCGTTCTCTCCTTCTGTAGGACCTTATACCTCAGATCCCCGTAAAATGAAGATCCTAAAAGCAAGGACCTTGGTGAACCTCAATGAAGAAGGCCACCATGTGGCACCTGGCCACGAAGAATGCTTCATTGCTTCTGTGACCCATCCACTTGGCATTGGATGAGATTTGAGGAGTCTATAGTAGGCCCAATGGTTGGCCAATGGTTCAGCAAAACCAAGTCCTCTCCTATGAACTTTGACACAATGGTGAGCCATACAGGAACATGGCCCAGCTTCAGTATTGAACCAAAGCCTTCAAGAATGTTAGTTTCCCCTTTTAATCACATCACTACAACCTTAAGAGAGCTGCCTTATACCATGGTGAGGCTCCATAACAATCTCCGTATTGAATTTATACCCTACTATTCTCACATTATGAGAGCCAATGTGTGCTTACAGTCTTTTTGGAGGATCAGGCTGATGTTCAACACTGGATTTAACCCAATGGAAATTCAACACTTGACGTTTCCGAGGACATCGTCCACATTGGGCCTCAACTGATTCTTACCTGGTCAAACAGCTGTTTCCCAGTTGTGTTGGGCTGGATGGCAAACTCCAGCTCGGCATCCATGGTGGTCACTCGCACGCAGATCTGGAATAAGGAAGAGAATGACATTGGCATGAGACCACATCCAGAACAACCTGAAGTCAGAGAGTTTCGCTTTATGGGAAGGTCGGGAGCCATCATCATCTCCAAGGTTGGATCCAAAAGCTCCACAATTATTTAGTCCAGGCCTGGGCAAACTTGGGCCCTCCAGGTGTTTTGGACTTCAACTCCCACCATTCCTAACAGCCTACCGGCTGTTAGGAATGGTGGGAGTTGAAGTCCAAAACACCTGGAGGGCCCAAGTTTGCCCAGGCCTGATTGAGTCCAACAAGGTTGACGAAGACTCTACTAGACAGAAGGCACCAAAAGTGGGAGAAACCCAAGGAAGAGAACAAGAGGCAAGATATATAACTCTGTCCAATGTGGAAGATGTGCAATGGCTATTCAAGATACAGCTTGAGGTGATACAATGTTTTCTATGCTTCAACTGAGTTTCCATCTATGCTTCAACTGAGTTTCCATCTCTGGGGAAGAGAAGAAGGTGGAAGGATAGGCAACTCTTGTGCAGTTTCAGGACAATCCGACTAAATGATAAAAGGTCTGGAGAACAAGCCCTATGAGGAGCGGCTTAAGGAGCTGGGCATGTTTAGCCTGAAGAAGAGAAGGCTGAGAGGGGATATGATAGCCATGTATAAATACGTGAGAGGAAGCCACAGGGAGGAGGGGGGAGCAAGCTTCCTTTCTGCTTCCCTGGAGACTAGGGTGTGAAACAATGGCTTCAAACTACAAGAGAGGAGATTCCATCTGAACATGAGGAAGAACTTCCTGACTGTGAGAGCCGTTCAGCAGTGGAACTCTCTGTCCCGGAGTGTGGTGGAGGCTCCTTCTTTGGAAGCTTTTAAACAGAGGCTGGATGGCCATCTGTCAGGGGTGATTTGAATGCAATATTCCTGCTTCTTGGCAGAATGGGGTTGGACTGGATGGCCCATGAGGTCTCTTCCAACTCTTTGATTCTATGATTCTATGACTCGTTCATTCATTTCCTAGTGTTATTCTGATAACATTTATATATTTTATAATATAATATAAAATATATATAATATATATAATATACACATAATTAAAGTGAAAAGTGTGCATGTGCATATGTGTCGGAGGTGTCCATTTACACAGACAGCCTCCCACCTCTACAAACAAGCCATAGAAGTCTCCAAAGACACTCCCTCAACTGACATTGTAGGTTTCAGCGAGCACCATGAACATGTCTCCCAACCCATGCCAATGTCCTCCTCAAACACAATACTGCCCACCACCCAAGGAATGCTTTCATTCGGGGAGAATTTCATCCTAGATTGTAGATGGTCCCTCCACCACAGGCAGGCACCCCAGGGTTCCTTTCACTCTCCATTGGTGTGGAATTTGTATGCCCACCCACCCACCCACTGCCTCTCCCTTAACCCTTTTCCAACCCTTTCCTATGGCACACGGAAAACACAGAAGAATTGATCAGCAACTGGAAGGGTTTGGGGGGACTGACTCAACAGGATGGAAGTTGTAGTTCACCCTGCATCAAGGCAGAGCACTTTGATAATGGAACTTGACCTCATTTGGCACGCAGAATCCTCATGACGAGTTTTGAGGGGAATTGCCTTGATTTATAGGAGTTGTAGTTCAGCTAATTCCAGAGAGCACTGACCCAGCCGACAATGAATCTGGACCAAACATTCTCAGCTGTGCATACAAGCCAGGTTTGGAAAGGATTGACCCATGATTCTGGAAATTGTAGGTCACCCACATTGTTATGTATTTTGTAATGGGAACAGTCATTAAAAAATGGAAGCACATAAGCACATTCTAGCTTTTTCCTAATAAATAGTGTTACTAATTAACTCGGGTTTTTTTGTCGTGTCAGGAGCGACTTGAGAAACTGCAAGTCGCGTATGGTGTGAGAGAATTGGCTGTCTGCAACGACGTTGCCCAGGAGACGTCAGGATGATTTGATGTTTTTATCATCCTTGTGGGAGGCTTCTCTCATGTCCCCGCATGAGGAGCTGGAGCTGATAGAGGGAGCTCATCCGCCTCTCCCCGGATTCGAACTTGCGACCTGTTGGTTTCCAGTCCTGACTAAATGATCTGACCTAACACCCCAAAACAAGCAATGCCTTTTCAAATAACCCGAGCACCACCGGGTACCCAAGCTAGTAGTGTAATATAATAGTGCCTGGCATGTTACTAGTATGTGACAAAGGCAAATGTCCAATTTGCACCATATTGCAGTCATAATCCTCAAGCAAACATAAACCTTTGTGGAGAGGTTAGACCTGGTTAGACCACACCTGGAATATTGTGTCCAATTCTGGGCACCACAATTGAAGGGAGATATTGACAAGCTGGAATGTGTCCAGAGGAGGGCGACTAAAATGATCAAGGGTCTGAAGAACAAGCCCTATGAGGAGCGGCTTAAGGAGCTGGGCATGTTTAGCCTGAAGAAGAAGGCTGAGAGGAGATATGATGATAGCCATGTATAAATATGTGAGAGGAAGCCACAGGGAGGAGGAGGGAGCAAGCTTGTTTACGGCTTCCCTGGAGACTAGGACACAATGGAACAATGGCTTCAAACTACAAGAGAGGAGATTCCATCTGAACATGAGGAAGAACTTCCTGACTGTGAGAGCCGTTCAGCAGTGGAACTCTCTGCCCCGGAGGGAGTGTGGTGGAGGCTCCTTCTTTGGAAGCTTTTACAGAGGCTGGATGGCCATCTGTCAGGGGTGATTTGAATGCAATATTCCTGCTTCTTGGCAGAATGGGGTTGGACTGGATGGCCCAGGAGGTCTCTTCCAACTCTTTGATTGTTTGATTCTATGATTCTAGGTGAGGTGAAGAAGTGCCTGTATATGATCCAGAACTGTGACCATATCTTAATCCGAAAGACACATCTAACTACATTGTAAACAGTGGCTTCTCTGCAAGACCTGACCACCTTCATTGGGTTATTCTTTCCTCAGCCATCAAGGGAGTTTGCAAAGTCCAGAGCTGCAAAGTGTGCAAAAGAATGCCTTCACCTCTGGAGTTATCTATCTCGTGGAAGAGGGAGACCTGGGGCCGCCCTGTGACTGGTGCAACTATCTGCAAAAGCCTCCTTGCAGCAAGACCTTTCGGGAGGCACGCTGTTCCAAGCCCACCTCCTACACACGGCGGCTGCACATCATCATCGCACATTATCACACACACACACATTCTGCTCTCCAAGTGGATGCCAGGCAAGAAGCAGCAGAGACAAAAGGAAGTTCAGTCGGTTTCTGGGGGCGGAGAAAAAAGCACCCGTTTCCCCTTCAAAGTTCGGCCCTCCGTTTCCTTCTCTCGCAAAACTTACTGGCCTTGATAAGTGCATCAGAGGGTGCCTCTCTCTCTACCAAGCCCAGAGCCAAGAGGGTGGTTTAGGGGTTCAAACCAACCCCAAAATGTTTCAGGTGAAAAATCAACAACAACCAGGAAAAATCAACAACAACCAAATCCTGATGTCAAGTCTATGGAGAAGGAAACATTCGAGTCTCTCCAGAACTGCAAACACGATCTCAATCCAATTTTGATTATTCACACTCTCATTACCAAGCTTTCAACCAATTTACATTGCAATAGTAGAAATCATTGGCAGAGTGGAATCTTCCAAAGCCTAAGGTGTGGGATGGATTTGACCTGGGTTGGAGGTGGAAACTGAGGAAAGTCTGGAAACTTAAGTGTCTCCCACTGGTTCATCTAAAGCAGTGGTTCCCAACCTGCGGTCTGTGGACCACCAGTGGTCTGCAAGAACTGAAATATGGTCCACAGTCCCACCCTTACTACACCATTGCAACAAGAGTGACTGGTCTTGCAAACCCTTTTATAGTGCTGAGGCTTATTAAATATGGTTTTCTGTGGGCAAGCAGGTGGCAACTACTGGATGGCATAGAGCTGATGTCTGCAGTCTGCGTCTGTAGAAATGTGTCCAGAGGAGGGCGACTAAAATGATCAAGGGTCTGGAGAACAAGCCCTATGAGGAGCGGCTTAAGGAGCTGGGCATGTTTAGCCTGAAGAAGAGAAGGATGAGAGGAGACATGATAGCCATATATAAATATGTGAGAGGAAGCCACAGGGAGGAGGAGGGAGCAAGCTTGTTTTCTGCTTCCCTGGAGACTAGGACGGAACAATGGCTTCAAACTACAAGAAAGGAGATTCCATCTGAACATGAGGAAGAACTTCCTGACTGTGAGAGCTGTTCAGCAGTGGAACTCTCTGTCCCGGAGTGTGGTGGAGGCTCCTTCTTTGGAAGCTTTTAAACAGAGGCTGGATGGCCATCTGTCAGGGGTGCTTTGAATGCAATGTTCCTGCTTCTTGGCAGGGGGTTGGACTGGATGGCCCACAAGGTCTCTTCCAATTCTTTGATTCTAGGATTCTATGAAACCAAATTTAAAGTTGACCAAAAACCAATTTGTAACCCTTTTGATACTAATTTTGGAGAGTGGTTCCTGGTCAAAAAAAGGTTGGGAAACACTGATTTAATCCAAGCCCTGCCAAGGAAACAACGGAACAGGAGCAAAGAGAAGAAGATGTGCCATTGTTAGACCTTGGACTTCCTACGAACAAGACTGTTTCTGGTGAGCAAGTGAAAGTTCAATTCATGCAAAGTCCACAGACTCCATGGCCAGGTTATGTATTTCCTGTGGATAAGGAAAGGCATCTAAGTAACAGAAATATGGAGTCAGGTCCTAATTTTTGCAGAATGAGATCTTGAGTCTTGCTTTTGTATTTGCACATCTTAAAATCTGCGAAGGCAGAAATAAAATAGACCAAAATAAAAGCCTGATCTCATCAGCAAAGAGGCAAAAGACTGCAGAGAGCGTCAGGTGGCGTTCCAATACATCGCTAAGAAGCAGGAGGAAGGAAGGAAGGAAGGAAGGAAGGAAGGAAGGGGAGAGGAGAGGAGAGGAGAGGAGAGGAAAGAGGGAGAGGCTCCTGTCCATCTGGAACTCTTGAGGATACTTACAGCCATCTGGCCCTGTTTGGGT